ACATTCAACTATTTGAGATGGTAATTTGTTCCATACAGGGACTACTCTGTTTGCAAAGAAGTGTTATCTAATTGCTACCCTGCTCGTGGTTCTCTCAAGTGTGTAACAGTGTCCTTGGAGGAGGGTGTTGGCCCGCAATGTGAACAAGTGCCCAATGGGTGACTGCTCCATGTTCCTGGTGGCTTTGTACACTTGAATGAGGTCCCCTCTCATGCGTCGGCGTTCTAGGGAGAACAGGTTCGAGGATTTCGGTCTTTCCGAGTAGCCGAGTCCTTTGTGACCCCAGACCATCCGGGTTGCTAGTCGCTGAATGTCTTCTAGAACTTTGATGTCCTTCCGAAGATACGGTGCCCAAGCCTGAACACAATACTTGAGGTGTGGCCTTACGATGGCTGTGTACAGGGGCATGAATACACCAGGGTAACGGTTTGTGATCGCCGTTCGGAGTCCAAACAGAGCTCGCCTGGCTTTCAAGCCTGCTGCTTCAGAGGTAGAAGACTCCTACCCCCTAGGTTCATTACCTCTGATTTGTAAGCTAGGGTATTGAACCGGCCGACAACAATGCTGTCTACCACCATTATCCAACTAGTCTACCTGTAAGTATTTTGAAAACCCGCGTTGCCTCGATACTTTTGTAATTCGTAATTGAGGGGCCTAATCAGTGATCTACTTTATACTCATTAGGACATTTCATACTGCTTATGCTTAGTCTTCAGTATGGTCGGGGGTGGGTGTCTAGGGTTCGGCTGGTCATCCTTCCGTTGCACCTCGCGAAATGCTCTCATTTGACCAAGCGTCTCAAATAACCTCCTCTGAGGAAGTCCTACTCACTGCCTTTTCGTGGCGGTGTTTTCCCATCAAAGTGAGAGGACGAAAAGCCAACATCCGGGGCTATAACAGGGTTGATGGACCACTGGCAGTTCACCTAGGGAAGTTGGCCAAAACCCTGATTCCTAACCAACCAAGAAGAGGCGAATGAACCACACCTTCCTGGTTGTGGTAGTGGTCACCGGCTCGATTGAGCATCAGTGTGTTTTGGATACCCTGGACGTTTAACCCCGTCCAAAGGGCGTATGATCCGATGAACTGGATACCGGCCCCCAATGGATTGCGGTTTTCACACTCCGGTGCTAGAGCACCGTCGTGCCTATCAAAGACCAACAATCATTTGATTCTTAGACTTACGCGCGTCCTTCGACTCTGTCGATAGGACTGCACTATGGAAGTTTGTTGAGGAATGGAGTACCTGAGAAGTATGTGTCGATCCTCAAAGAGTTGTATCATCATACCCCAGGTCGGGTTAGGGCCTATGGTCAGCTTTCTCCACCCTTCGCCGTCTCCAGTGGAGTTCGGTAAGGCTGCCCTTTTCCACTTTGTCATAGTGGATGTTCTACGGAATGCTTTATCCGGTCTATCAAACGGTGGAGTCGAACTCCTCCTAGGGAACCGTCCTTGACTTAGAATATGCCGCTGATATCGCCTCGCTGGGTGACAATACACAGGCAATCCAAAACGCTTTGAACCACTTGACGATCGAGGTATTGTGTTCTATCAATTTCTGATCAGAATGTACTAACGTATGATACAATGCATGAAGCTCACTTTCAGTGCTTCCTGTTTGTGTCAATTCCACGCCTAACGTAGTGTGGCCCCATGTGGTTCGCCACTCCGAATCCTGGGGCTTAGTTTATCGACTGCCATTACGATGAGACTGCACCTTGACGTGGTGTGTGCACCTCTGTGATCCAACGAGCTATAGAGGATGGCTTTTGTCATGCCAGGAAATCTAACCATGCCTGGAAGGTCAATGGGTAGAGGTCAGACGAATTTCAGTTTCCTGGTCCTCCAGGTTGGGGGTTCGATAGGAATTTGCGTTTCAGTCGGTAAAAATGGTGAAGGGATCATCGATCCAAGTAAATGGGCCTCCACTTCGCTTCACCCGCTGCCTTTCGGCTAGGTTCTTGTTAGAACTAAAGGCTTTGAACGAGAACCCTAATCGGTCTCCTGCTTAGTGGCTGGACACCCTAGCAGTACCCGTCCACCAAACCCCAATGCATACATAAAATAAAAATAATTCCATACTGCATCGGTCTTCGCGCAGGATAATCCGGACCGCGCTGCCCATTGCATCGAGCGGGGTGGATGGTGATAAGTAGACTACTGCTCAGATATCGCAACCTTTGTTTAATTCTTTGTCTTCAGTACCCAGCCCTATCCATTTTTCCTTTCTTCTGACCTGTAATAGTCCATCAAGCAACTTGGATATCGGTCACCAAAGGTCATTGCCAAATAGCACTGTAAGTAATGTATCTTAAATCGAATTGCAGATTCTAAAGCCTCGTCAATCACTGAATCGGGGGGCCTTCAACATGAGGACACTGATGCAGGTAGGTCAACAAGCTTATCTGGCGCGTACAATGGAATCCTTGGGGATCGATATTTGCTGCGTGTCGTAGATTCGTATCCAGGATCCTACTACGATAAGCGACTTGAGCGTGCCAGATTTGTCTTCGAGATATGTTCTTCGTACATCAGGCGACGGCGAAGCCCGCTCAGTGGGTCAGCGCGGGGTAAATATTGCACTTAGCAACAAAGTGGAGTCCTCTCTTATCGATTGGATCCCCATCAACAGTCGTTCATGTGCAGTTCGCCTCCAGGGTTCAGTCAGCGTCCGGAAGGGAAGCAACGCCAAAAGGTGTTTGTTCATCGTATCTGCATATGCAGTTCTGATACCCAAAAGGACGCCTTCTACGAGAAACTCACCGATCTCACTCAGATGAGTCGAAGCTCCGACGTAGTTGTACTTGCAGGTGACTTCAACGCGCAGGTTGGAAAACTAGACGCATCAGAAGCTTGTCTAGGCGGTAGTTGTGCTCTGTCCTGCCAACGAACAGATAACGGCGATCGACTACTTCAGTTCTGCGCAGACCATCATCTGTTCCTAGCAAGCACTAACTTCCTACACAGCTCTCGACGAACGGCAATGTGGCGCTCCAGTTCAACTGGTTCGCTAACTCAACTCGACCATAACGTAGCGTAGAAGTATGAAGAAGCTGGCTTCAGCCTTGGCTTCGGTTGGTGCAGCCCGCCTTTCAAGTTGGGGCCCGAGGGATGAGGATTGTCGTTGGTTAGGTACGCTGAGAGATATAGCCAAGAAAAGAAGTCAGTGGCGCAACTGCTGTACGGTTTGCCTTCGAAATCCCGTGCCCCGTAAAAGACAACAAACAACAAAAAAATTTCCAAAAGTGTAAGGCGAAACACAAAAAATGTTTGATATCCGAGCTATCTACCATTTTCCCGGGTTTAGCTGTTTCATCCTCTTTTCTCTTTGTTCTTTATCTCAATCCACTTGCACCCAATGATTGTTATCGTTATTATTGTTGTGGTGTTGGTATCATGCCTGTCTCCAAACCAGTGTCAAATATATAATATACTTGCAGGTCAGGCTTTGGCTAGTCGAAGGCTCCGATTGTGGATTCCTCGAGAAAATCCACTTTCCTTGGCATGGGCAACCCAGCAATATTCGGCTCTCATGCAAATCGTGGAACGTTTTTCTTTGGTATAAAGATTATCAAACTACGATTTGTTTGGTACAGTCTGGTCTAAGACTTACGGTATATATATATATATATATATATATATATATGGCAGATGACGTAGAGACGTGGCATGAAGTAATGTACGGAGTGATTAGGTAGATTAGGTGTCTCTGGTCTTCCGAGTTGGGGTCCAAAGGACTCCGTAATCTCATGGTCGGAGATATTAAAGGTCATGGCAGCAAAACGACAGCAGTAGCGATCTTGCTGTCACTTTTTTATCAGACCAGAATCGTTGAACTAGTATGTATTCACAGTTGGACTGTGTACCCTGTGTTGACCATACAGGTTCCCTTTCATTTCTTGTCCCTAAAAGTAAGTCCAATCCCTGTCCTCCTTACACGTTCTCACTTACCTTGTATACACTATGAGTTTGGCAGCGGTCAGTGAATTTGGCTTCATCGTATTACGCTGTACAATGATGATGGCGATGTTGATGTTATAGCTGCAGATTTTGGCTTTTCTTCCGCTCACTGAGGTGGGAAAATACCTCCACCACTGGAATTCAGAGGCTATCTGAGACGCTTGGTCATATAGGGGCATTTCGCGAGATGCAAGAGAACGTTTACCGGCCACACCCTAATATACCCAACTACGACCATACCGATCATTCTAGCAGTTTCCGGTCCACGTTCGGGAATTGTGACGTCAGAAGGCAGATTCCACTGTTTTCGTCAGCACTACGCGATTTATTTTC